CACTTTAAAAACAACACTTGGACTTTCATTTAAACTTAAATAAATAATCTTTAAAAGTAGATTTAGTTTGAGAAATATGACACCAAAAAAAGTTTGTTTAAACTTTGAAAATCATATTATTTATTTAGTACCAAAATATAAAACTTAAAAACATGTACTAAATAAATCTTTTTCAAAATCTTGATCAAGTTTATTTAGCTTTAATGTTTTGTCATTTCAAAATAAGGATCAATTCAAGGCTAACAGATTAATTATCTCTTTTTATTTTAGTAGGTCGAGATTATTTTCTGTGAAAACAGGTCCCGACATGATGATCAATATATTAAATAACTTGTTAAGTGTATTGGTATAAGTGAAATGTACTCTTCATTTAATGTTATGTTTTAGTCAATGTATTAGCTCAATCCAAGTAACATTAATTGTTTACACTAGCTTAAGACCTTGGTTGCTTTTACTATTATCTTAAAAAATTTTAAAAATTCAAAAAATAGGATAAAGTTAAACTTTTATAGAGCTTAAGAGCTCAGAGCAATTTAAAAGCTCATTTTTATAAAATCAATCTTATGTTTTGTGCTTTGTTATCGATTTTTTGTTCCTTATCAGCTTTTTATGTCAATTCTTTTTTATCTTCTATCTCGATGTTGGTCGAGCTATCTATTTGTTTCTCAATCCTACCCTTCATCATTGTAACATAACATTATTGTGCTATGGATTGGTCCCTTCGAACTTTTCTAATCCTTACAGTTGTCAAAATTTTTGCTTTCAAGTAGGAAGCTGAGCCCATGAGTGGCAGAATAAACTGATTGGGTCAGCCTAACATCATATTATAGGTGAAGGGATATTTACTACCATGAACTTTATGACAGAAGTGATTATTTTCAGCTCTATTCTTAGAGAGATAAAGAGTTTGATGGTTCTTCTTATTGGCACCTGTTTATTTTTAAACCTAACTAATGTTATGATGATCGACTTCAACTAATCTTTGTTGATCCTCAGTTTTTTAAAACAATCATAGTACATAACGTCAGTCGAACTCCTATTGTCAAATAGGATTCTTTTGATCACATAGTTATATACTAGGGCTATGATCACTATGACATTATCATGTAGGTGTTGAATCCTCTCTAGATCTTTTGAGTTGAATGAGATCGACTTATCTCTCCAATATTTTTCTTGTTTAGCCGTAGTGCCTATTGTCATTAAGAAGCTCAAGGTGAACTTTTTTTTTTGTCGAGATGGAGTTACTTTCTATGATCACGTTAATCACCTCTAAACTTGGCCTACTATTATTAGTTCGACCCTTTTTCTAATTCAACTCTTTCCTTTGAGCATCCCTTCTTTCTTAATCTGATCTTTTTTCTCTACCTCTAGTGGATGCTCTGTGTTTATTTTTGTAGTCCCTTTTAAACTGGTTTTATCTTTTTTGCCTAACAAACTTTTTAAGTTGACTTCACCTAATCAGAGCTTTAATATCATTTTTTAGGTTGACATAGTCTTCTGTATTATGATCAATGTCCTAATAAAAGGCACATCTTTTGGTTAGATCCCGTTTTGTATTTTGTCTCAGTGGTTTAGATCATTTGAGATCAAAATTTCTTTTAATTTGTATCAGCCTCTTATATGAGGCATTTAGTGCAGTGTAGCTTTTATCTCTGCTGAAGCTTTTAGCTCTTTGTTGTTTCTCTCTTGGGGGAGGATTGTAGAATTTTTTACCTTTTTATGACCAAAAAAGAAAGATAAACCTCTCTCACCTTAGCTGTCAAGAAAAGGGAATAAGCTTTTTTCACCTCGATTTATTTTCATTATAGCTTTAGTGTTGATATATTTCTCTGTTATTAGCAAGACGTTGGTAAGAGTTTTAAGTGGTTCTAGTGACAATGTCAACTTCAAGTGGTACTCATTATCATTGAGTCCATTCGTCAATGCGATAATAATGACCATTTGTTCTAGGTCTTTAACCTGTAGGGCTTCAGCATTCAAAGTATAATATAACTTTTTAAAGTTTCATTTTACCCTTGATGAATTGACATCAAGCTTAGGGTTATTTTTTTAACTTTTTGGCTACTCATGAATTGAGCCAAGAATGAGTGGTTGAGCTTTTTGAAAGTGATGATTGACCTTGGTTCCAAACTATTATACCAAAATCGAATTGTGCCTTTCAAAGTGGTGGCTAGACTCTTGTACATTAAAGCCTCGTTTGCCTCTTGTATCATCATATTAGTTTGATAAAGTTTTAAATAATCAAAGAGGTTAAAAGTACCATCATTTGTCTCCAAGGTTGGCATTTTGAATCTCTTAGGAGGCATGGCTCTGTCGATCTATTCGGTAAAGGGTGAGGTCTCCAAAAAATTAAACTCGTCATCAAATGCTACTGGCTTCATTTTTAACTCTTTCTCTATAACCTGCATCTAAGCTTCTAGATTTCTATTCGGTTGGGGTTCATAGTTTGTTTATTTGGACTTTTAGGTTGTAGCACGTGTAGAATTATAGTTGGGGTGGTAAAGGGTTGGATTGATGTGCTTTTCTTCTTTAGAGGCTGAGGAGGTTTCATCTTTTCATAGCTTAGCTACCTGACAATAGCTTTTCAGCCCGGTATGACTAAGTCTGAAACTTTGGAGACTTGTTGTGGGGTTATAGTTTGAAGCATCTGTTTGAGGGCTTGTATTTGCTCGGTCAAAGCTTGAAATTGCTCCATGGTTAGCCCAGCTTTTGGTTGAGCTGGGTGGACAGAATGCTGATTTTGGTGAGTTTCTTTTCTAGCCAAAGCAATTGTCTTTCGTTTCTTTTTGGTTATTTTTTTTTGGTAGTATTATTTTGTGCTAGGCTATTATGAAAATGCTAGTCCCTTACGTGACGTGCCAAATGTTTGTGCTGAGTTTCAACTTGATGGTAGTTTTATAAATACAGAAAAAAAAAAAGGTTAGAAGCAAATGCATGGGGTATTCCCTGCGTTTGCACTCTGATGCATAGGTCAAAAGAAGGTGAAAAAGTAAGAATGAGAGAAAGGTATGAGTTAGATGAGCTTGGTTTTCATAGTGCCTGAATCTCCGTATTCATAGGCAAAGTAAGAGGGACAAAAAAATAAGAATTAGGACAGGGGTAAGCTGAGGTGGAACTAAATATGTCAAAGTGACTTGATATGTTAGGTAGGCACAAATGATTAAGATACCCTTCTTTATTTCTTGGAGATTGAAAAAGAAGAAAAGACCACCATTATGCTTTTTTTACTATTATATGCCCTTAATAGATCCTTAAATGATCAAATAAATTTTAATTTATATTTGATAAATGTAAATAAATATAAAAATGTAATTCAATATCATTTACTAAATTTAATAAAAATATAAATAAATAAAAATTAAATATATTCACAAACAACTCATAAAAACTTAGATCATTTGCACCTCACGATATTCGTATTCATAGTTATATTTGTCTTGTTGTTTTTTAGACATAGAAAACGACCCTCGATTCTTTCTTTGTCGACCTTTTGGATTGTCATTTGTATTCAAATTTGGGCTTAGAAAGCCCTAAACCAATTTGGGTTGCCCTTCCTTTTCTATTTCCTTTTAATATTTTACTTTCTTTTAATGACTTAATAAAAATATTATCTTTTATAAAATATATTATTTTCTTTTAAATAATGTAAACTAAAGGTATTTACTTTTTTCCATTATGGTTTATAAAATATGACAAGACTTGACGAGTATGTCTATATCACTAAAAGAAGTTTGAATCCCTTATTGAAAGTTAAAATAAAAAATCAATAGCTAATTAGTTCAAATAATAAAAAAAATATGTAATTTTTATTATTTATACGAATTTAAATTTATTAAAAGATTATAAGAAGATAATTTTTAAAAATTTTATTAGATTTAATATAAATAAGTTTGTTTTGACTTATTCGAAAAGAGTGTTTCGAACGGAATCTAAAAATGTTTTATTATTAAATCAAAAAAATCAAATTCGAAGAAGTGAAAGAGTTAAAGCCTTTTGTTTTTTTTTTTTTCCAATTTCCATTATGTCTCCCTCATATATCATTCCAAACCTTTTGTTTTTTTTCCTATTCTTGTCACTAAACCAAACATGAAAGTTAAGAATCTAAGAATCCTCCCACCAACAAAAATTTTTTCACAATATTCTATCGTCATTAACAAGGATTTGGTAGGTGGAAGTTATGTGTAATTTCATTAGGAAAATTTGTTGACATATTTAGGAGCACAAAAATTGTATACATTGAAAACTAAGGGCTTGATACGGATGAGTGCTAATGAAGAGAATGATTAGTATTATTTTTAATTTTTATTGAGCTGGGGGAAAGAGAAATCAAATTTGTTTTTATTTTAATAAAAAAATTATATATTAACTATTGAACCAAATGCATATTGATTAAAATCTTATTTATTTTAAAAATAAAAAAGTGAAAATTTGATAATAGTTTTTATTGGTGGATTGGTCGACTAAAAGGAAGGATAAATTTAAAATATGAAAGCAGGAATAATAAAAACAAAATGTTCTCGACCTTTTATCCAAAAATAATTATAGTTAAATGAAAATAAAATTGGTAAATACAAAATTATTTAAAGAAGCTAAGAATTAAGACAATGATTAAAAAATCATCAACTAATAATTGATAAAACTAATACGACTGATTTTTTTACCAACATGAAGAAGGATTTATAAATTCTTTAATTTTTTTTTATTTCTTTAAAAGGCTACCATTAAAAAAAAATTATATTACTTTTTTTTTTGAATTAATTTTTTTTTGTTTAAGGAGGACATAATTCTTAAAGGAAAAAAAAATCTTGACTTGAAATTAAAATCTTTATATTTTCATAAAATTATTTTAACCATTAAATGAAAAGGTGGAGGATGAATTTAAAAATTTTAAAGGTAAAGCTTTTACCACTAAATTTCATCAAAATTCACAAATTTATTTGTTTCCATTTTGACAAAGAACATAATTTAATTTATAATTTTTAGTGAACACCAAAATATAAAAATCTAAAAAAGAAAAAGATTCATAACAAAAACGCCGACAACACCACAACGCAAAACCTCTCCCTCACTGGCCCATCCCTTTTTCCCACGGCTGAGTCACGCGCACCAAATAATCAAATTCCCTCAACCCCAACGAAAAACCATCTCCTCTCTTCGCTCGTCGCCTCCGCCGTCTCCATATTCTCTTTATTTCTTCTCCACTTTGAGCAAAAAAAAAAAAAACCAAAGCCTTTTCTTATTCACTTATTTCTTCCATCTCTCTCGATGCCCTAGCCATCTTCCCTCGCCGGAACTACCCAGGGCGCGTCGCCGCCGCCGGCGATATCTGTGGCAGTAAACTTCCAAATCTCTGTCTTGGGTTTGGTTTTGTTTGGATTGGATTCTGGAATTATCTTTGAATTCGGATTTGATTACGGAAAAAGGAATAACAACGACGAAGAACACGACGGCGTCGAAGGATCTGTTAGGGTTTTAATCTTGATGGCTGGGAGTCGTAAAAAGGGAGGGAACAAAGCAAAGGTTAAGAGTTTAAGTTTAGGCGATCTTGTTCTTGCCAAAGTCAAGGGTTTCCCGGCTTGGCCTGCCAAGGTCTCTTCCTTTTTTCTCTTCCCTTTTTATTTTATTGTTATTAGTTAACTTTTTTTTTTATCCTGAATTCTGGGGCTTTTATATTTTGATGATTATATTTTTAATTTCTTATATGCTTATTTAAACTTATGAAATTTTAATAAATCCATGATGAGTTTGGGATTTTTTTTTTTTTTTTAGTTTTGATGATGTTGGCAAGTTTATATCATGATTGCATTGTCTTACATTGTAGTATATTTGTTGGTTTTATACTGAGTTTGTTTCTCTTAGTAAATTTTGTTTTATTTCTTGGAAGCCCTAATTTTGGATTCAATGTTCTGCTATGATTATGTTAGCTGATTATTTTTTTAGTGTTTCAGGTTTGGTACTTTGCCTGTTTCTGTATTGATTTACTTAATGCAACTATGCAAGTTCTTTATTTTGGGGCTGAATAAAATAGGGCAAATATGTGTACTTTTTGGTTGTATGCTAGATTGATTTGATCTTAACGAGTGCATCAGAAATTTTGTTAGGGATTGCGATTTATATTTTTGTTTTTATTATTTTGTTACTTAGAACTCAGTTGGTTTTTTGTAATTTTGGTTTATGGTTGGTTTTTGAGGTGGATTCTGTGGGTTATGAATTTCAGATTAGCCGGCCTGAAGATTGGGAGCGAGAACCTGACCCTAAGAAATATTTTGTCCACTTCTTTGGAACACAAGAAATGTAAGTATTTCACATTCAATTTATAAATGTTTGGTGAATGAGCTAGATGGTAAAATAATGAATAAAGACAGGTGACGGATCTGTTTTAGGTTTTGGATCTGTTTTCTGTTAGGAGGGAAAACACATTTTACCATAAGATGGAAGATGAGAAAAATACATGAGGTGTTACTGCATAAGTTCCTTGAATGGGATATTAATTTGTTGCATTCTAAATAACAGGTTACATATGCTGATCCAAGTAGACAAACTATGATGTAGTCTTTATAATTGCTAATTGAAGTCTTTTGCTTCTTGTCTGTGTTGACTGGAGGATGCATTGAAACTGGCTTTATTTATTCTCTCTCCTGTGATGTCGGTATCCATTGTTGCTTTTCTTTCCATCCAGCTCCTCTGATCAAGAGATTGTAGGATGCATGTTCTAACAACAACAGGAGAAAATTTGTAATATGGAAGGCTCTATGCTGAGTCTTCTATGTTGCAGTATTGTACCGTAGGCAGCTCTGTCTTTTAGCTTTAGATAGCATAATATAAACTCATGGAGCTCACCATTCTAACCTTTGTTTGGGGAATTCTATTTGACAGATGTTATTAGTCATGCTGATTATCTGAGAATTTTACATGTTATATTTCCTTCTTTGATAATTTGAGAAATAGTGACATGTCCTTAAGGTAACTGAGCTTTTCGTTCTAGGATGCAGAAAATCAAACATTGATACAATGACAAATGGTGCAATATTTTTTTTACTTGTACATGTTCTTGATTGACATGTGCATCTCATGTTGCCTTAATTAATTTTTTAATGTAATTTTTTAATATTTGAGCTATAATTTCATTTGGTGTAGTGGAAGATATCTTTCCTCCATTTTTAATATTTGAGTTGTTAGCTAAGCAGCTGATGGTAGTTGATGAGGCTTTCTATTGTGCTGTGCTTGGGAATATTGATATAGCATATGTGGGTTAGTTAGGGTTGGGTTCAAGTTTATTCCTTATTTCCAGTTTGTTACAAAAGGAGTTAAGATACCATGTAGTTGTTGAATTTCATAATTGTTAATGGCAATTGAAAGTTCTAAAGTCTGCTTAATGGCTTCATTTCTCTGGTCATTTTGCAACCATTTCTCATAATTTATGCAATCTTTTAGTGTTGATGTCAACTTATATGGAAAGTTATGATGCTTTACTCCTGTTTGTGTTAGCTTCTGAAATATTTTCTCTGCTTTAAAAAGCTGAAGTAGGCAAAACATGGATTACAAAATTAGATTTTGTCTTTTATGGCAAATGCAAATGAGCTTGTGACAGCTAATATTGAAGCTCCAAATTGAAATTTCTGCTTGTAGAAGGTGATAGGTCTATATAACGAAAACTATTTACAGACAAAACACCTATTTTAAATAATTTTATTTGTTATTATTATTTTCTTAAAAACTTTATTTCAACAATGCTTAGGCTCTTAATATAGATGTAGCTGTGGGCTGTAGCGAATGTTGAAGTCATGTTGTTCAAGAAAACAATGGTGTTTAGCTTAATTAGTAGTCATGACTCATGACCATTCTTTATCACTAAATTGTAACTGCTGCATTTGAATGTTAGTGTAGCTTTTTTGATGTTTGAATCGAATGACATTGCAATTTTTCTAGTTTTTTATTGCTGGTGTTAAATGGATTTGTGATTTAGGTACTTTTTATACTATGCTAGATCTTATTCTCACATTTGCATTAACATAGGATTATAGAATTATTTTTTTAATTTATTTTTGATCGTGACCAATCTTGGTGGAGGACTTATTCATAGTATATGACTGTAGCAAATTTAGGGTGCAATAATGGATCATTGTTTTTAAAATGGAGTTTTTATTATGGCCAACAGCATTTCTTAGTCTGCTTTTCTTCTTGAATGTTGAATGGATAGGTTTTGCAGCTATAAGTATATTGAAAGAAATAAAGTTCAAACCAATCTTGTTTATATTTAGAGACTGTCTGGACATAAGGTTTTCAGTTTTACTACCATGTTAAAAGGTTTTCTTGAATAAATTACTTAAGTTGTGTCTGAATAAAGCTTCCCTAACTCTAACCATGAATTAGAGGAGTGTCTGTGGTTCTGGTCATATTATATATGCTATAGTTTAGCAGTTTGAGATTTTGGCTGAAGTTTGTTAAGCATCAATGTGTGGTGGTTTACATATGGTATGCTTAGAAGCCTTTGAATAACGGCATTTAACTGCCCTGAAAATGAGTACTGCTGGAGTTGTCCTTAGAAATATTTGCAGAGGTGGTTTAGATTTATGGGGAAACATTGAATTGATTCTGGGAATATGGGTATTTTGGAAATGTTCATCTGTTTGGTACTTCTATTGGGATTTTTTTCTTCTGAAATTCTTGAATATTTTGTTGCATCCATATTTGCATATCTATGATCATGCTTAAGCTGTGAGGTTAAACCTTAAACCTTAAAACTTGAATTCAAAACTTATTCATTTTGGATCAATGATTGAGATTGAATGTTGATGCTTTTGCTCCTAAATTTTTAGAAGATATCTATAAATTTGTTGAAATCAGAATCTGTTCTTATGTCTTTTGTTAACTTTTTAATACTTGGTGGTGCCTTTTCTCATATTCCTTCAGCTCATAATGTTCATGACCAAGTTGATAAATTTAAATATCTTCAACTTGTTTCTTAAAGCTAGTGTTTATGTAATTGGGATGCGACAAAATTCCTGAGCGTTTTGTTGAATCCATATTTGCATATCTATGATTACGCTTAAGCTGTGATGCTTAAACCTTATACCGTCATTGGAAAACTTATTCATTTTTGGATCATAATGATTGAGATTGAATGATGATGCTTTTGCTCCTGAATTTCTAGAAGACATCTTTAAATTTGTTGAAATCAGAATCTGGTCGTCCTTTCTTTTGTTTACTTTTTAATACTTGGTGGTGCCTTTTCTCATATTCCCTCAGCACATCCTGTTCATGCACGTTTGAGCATGGGGATTTTCATCTTGCATTATTGAAGTTTTTCACTCTGCATTTGGAGTGTAAAAAGGAGCAATGCTGTTCATCCCAACCAAGAGATGCATGCATGCATCATTATTGTCTCTTACACTACACTTTGAACTTCAGTTCACTTGTGTTCTAGTTGCTTACTTTTCCCACTATGTTTTTCTTCTTGTACAGAGCTTTTGTTGCCCCTGGTGATATTCAGGCGTTTACTAGTGAGACAAAGACTAAATTGTCTGCTAAGTGTCAAATTAAAACTAAGCACTTTGTCCAAGCTGTGAAGGAAATCTGTGTCGCATTTGATGAATTACATAAAGAGAAGTCCAGTGGTTTAAGAGATGAAACTGACAGATCAACACCTGGCTGTGAGGCTTCATCTGTTGATGGGGTTGAGGGTGATGGTGCAGAGGCTGACTTAAAGAATGGAACAGGTGAAGTGGTATCTGGTGGAGAAGCCACTAGTGAGGGAAAAAGTGATCTTGTGTCTAATTTGGGTTGCTGTTCACACAGAGGTGAGAATAATAGTGAAGATATAAAGCCATCAATTTCGGGTCATGCAGATGATAGCTCATCTCCGATTATGTCTTCTGAGGGGAAACCTAAACTGTCAAATGTTGAACAACCTAAAAAGGAGGTGTTGTCTCTATCATCTTTAGATAAGCCGTCTCATATAGAGGAATTCTCTGATGATAAAATTGCTACTGTCAATTGTACCAAGAAAACATTGAGGGAAGATCAAAAGTCAAAGAATATGGCTCCCTGGCCAAAGAAAAGAAGCGAGGAAGGACAAAAAAGCAGCCGCTTAGCTGCAACATTATTGAAGGATGAGAAATCTGGTGGTTGTCTTTATCGGCATGAGTCTGAGGAGCAACCGAAAGAGAGAGTGAAAGATAGAGTAAAAAGCAAAATATGTGGCAGCGGTGTCGGGAAATTCTCACCAGATGCTCTCAAATCAGATTCTAATTACACTGGTGGTAAAAAGGCAAAGGAATTGCTGAAAACCAAAGGCAACTTCAAGGCCACTGATGGTGTACGGGACACTGTGGCCAATTCCAAAGGTGAGACCACTGGCAAGAAAAAAAGGGGTGAACCTGGACTTGGAAAGCCTAAATTGGGAACAGATGAAAGTTTACCTCCTGCCAAAAAGTCAAAGTTTGTAGATATGAAAAATGATGCTTCCAAGGGATCTGTTGCCAAAAACATTAAAAGTGATTCTCCAAGTTCTAACAATGTCAACAACAAAACAGCTAAACAATCAGAGTTGAAAAAAGCCACTTCTCATGTTTTAGCATTGAGAGCCCCAACGGCCACTAGTTCTGATGTTTCTGGTGGTGAAGCTGTGCTGCTCCTATTGAAACGCCGTCAGCAGGCTTTGGAGGGTATCTCTGATTCTGCTTCTCTTAATTCCGAGGATAAGATTGGAAAAAATCCTGTTGAATTGAAGAATGACACTTCAAGTTCCAATGTGAAAAATCCAGCTACCCAATTATCCAAAAGGCGGAGAGCTGTTTGTCTTTTTGAAGATGATGAAGAAGAAGATCCAAAAACTCCAGTTCATGGAGGACCTGCCAAGAATGTTAAGGTCACTTCTGTTGTTTCTGATTCTTCAAAGAGCATCGACGCAAGTCACGCTACTGCTATCAATGCTCAACGTAGTGTTGGAGATTCCACCAGATATGAGACTAATGGTCCCAAGGATGCTTATTCACAATTAGCAAATGATTTTATGTCACCTCTTCAACCACAAATTGTCAAAGCGAGGCCTTCTATTCATGCCTTCATCACTCCTGAAAGATCAAAATCAGAGCAGTTGTCTTCCAAGGAGGCTAAATCAGTCTTGGTTTCCCCAAGGAAGTCTCCTCATCTGGTTTCTGCCACCAAACAAATAGTTGAACAATACAGAACTACTAAGGCTACTGTTAATGTTTCGAGTAATGGAATTCAGAAAAAGGCTCCATCTGGCTCTGATAAGGGGTCCGGTGTGGTTTCTGATGGTTTGAAGTCTTCTCAAAATCAGGTTTTGAGTCAAAGAAATAGGCCAGCTTCTTCTGTAGAGAGACTGAAATCTACTCCAAAATCAATTTCACGTGTCAATGACACTGCTTTTGTTACCAAAACTTCAATGGAGTATGGCTCTGCATTATCCTTGTTACTATTATGTTTAATTAATCTTCTTTTTAGAGGTATTATAAGAATCTTTATTGCCTATTGTAGTCTAATCTTTTTCTGTTCAGATTTGATGTCTTTCGAGAAGATAGAAGCAGTTCATTGATTGATTCCAAGACTCTGGATTCTGCTTTGTCGATGAAGCATCTTATTGCAGCTGCTCAGGCGAAAAGGAGACAAGCTCACTCTCAACAATATTCTCTTGGAAATCCCAGTTCTATTTTTGTGTCGATGTCTGATGTTCAGGGGGCGAGCCCCAGTCCTGCTGTTCAGCCATTTTCATCTGCAATGAGCAATGTGATGCAGGCTGATGCACAAGAAATTGCTCATCGGACAAATCTAGTTTCTCCATCAACTCTTGGTCACCAGTCAGGATCCCTAAATCAACATGATGCTGAAGAGATCGAAGAGAGAAGAGCTAGTTCGGGACACATGGCTGCTGAAGGCTCTCTCAGTGGTGGTACTGAGGCAGCTGTTGCACGAGATGCTTTTGAAGGAATGATAGAGACTTTATCGAGGACTAAAGAAAGTATTGGACGTGCGACTCGCCTTGCTATTGATTGTGCCAAGTATGGCATTGCAAATGAAGTAAGTTAAATAATATGCTTATTTGTGTTTGGTGTTGGTTCAACAATGCCAAGATGAGCTTGCTCAACCCCAAATTTGTATGTTATGATATATAACTGTTTTAAACAATATTGTAATTATGCATATGATTTTGATGATGTCAAAATTCTATTGAAGACTACTTTTTGGAGGTAGTTTTAGAATACGTAGTTTCTTTGCAGGTTGTTGAACTTCTTATTCGGAAGTTGGAAAGTGAGCCCAGTTTTCATCGTAAAGTTGACCTGTTCTTTCTTGTTGATTCAATCACCCAATGTTCACATAGTCAGAAAGGTTGGTTCTGCAATCTTTGTTATGAATGTTTTCAATTACTCTCTAATACTGAATCTCTTTGATGCAGGCAATTAAGAAAAAAATTGTTTAGTTTTATCCATTTTTTTTCCTGGTCTAGCATTAATTTCCTTATTTGTTATGACAATATTCATTCTGGGTCACATCTCCTTTAGACTTTTGGATGAATGCATGTTTATTTTAATAAGAACTCTCTTTTAATTGCTCTTCAACTTGCATGCACGCACACTGAAATAGTCAAATGTGATCTATTAATGCAGTAATTCATGTAAATGGTTGTGGTTAATGTTTATTTAGGCATTGCTGGTGCTTCATATATCCCTATAGTTCAAACAGCATTGCCCCGTCTCCTTGGTGCAGCTGCTCCACCTGGAGTAAATGCTCGTGAAAATCGTCGTCAATGTCTCAAGGTATACTATCGTGTTTTTTACTATAAGAAATTATTCTTCTATTTTTTCCTTTTTCCCCCTCTCTCTGAAGGATAAAGGGATATAATGTCTATACCAGGTTTTACGGTTGTGGCTTGAGAGGAAAATTTTACCTGAATCTATTCTGCGTCGTTATATGGATGACATTGGAGTTTCAAATGATGATACAATTTCAGGATCTTCACTAAGGCGTCCGTCTCGGGCTGAGCGTGCTCTAGATGATCCTATAAGAGAAATGGAAGGGATGCTTGTTGATGAGTATGGCAGGTCTGAAAATTCTTTCAATCATCTAAACCAAATTATTATAATGATAAATAAATACAATATCTACTACTCCCTCTATCTCATTCTCTTTGTCCATCTTTCCTTTTTGGGATGTACCAAAATTACGTCCTCTTTTCTTTTTTGAACATCTAAAACTTTTCTTTTTTATATTTTAAAATTATTTTTTATTTTTTATTTTTACTTTTGGACATTAAAAATCATGCAACTTTAATTTTATAAAAAAATTTTAAAATTTAATATTAAATACATTAAAGTCAAAGCTTTTTTTCTTAAACTCCTTGAAGTCAATAGGACCCAAACAATTTGGGATGGAGTTGAAGTTTGGTTTCAGATATAGTTGAAACCAAATTAAGACCAAATTACTAATCAGTTTGATTTTCAGACTAAACTAAAACTTCTGCTTTTCAAACCAAACCAAACCAAAACAAATAGGCAAGTTTAATCTGATTTTCAGCTGAGACCAAAGTATAAACACCCCATTTCACTGATTTGCTACTGTTGTTTGATCTGATTAGAATATTCAGCTACTATTTTTTGAGTTATCTTACATAATAGTCTTCTTAAATTACTAATTTTGAAGTTATTTCCAGTGTTTGTAGTAGCATTTGTGTCCCATCCTCCAGTTTCTAGTATTTGTCATTTGAGAAGAACATCAACTTTCTGACATCAATTTTGTTGGTTCTTGTAACCAGTAATGCTACATTTCAGCTGCCTGGCTTTTTATCTTGTAATGCATTTGAAGATGAAGACGAAGAAGATCTTTCAAGCAGTCCGTGCAGAGAATCTCCTGATGCATCACCGCTAGAACCAGCTCATGCTTTAGGAGAGTTGGAAACATGTACAGTTACTCCAACTGACAGGCGTCATTGCATCTTAGAAGATGTGGACGGTGAGCTTGAAATGGAAGATGTTTCTGGACACCCGAAGGATGACCGACCATCATTCACAAATGGTCTCGTAATGGACTTGCAGCAGCAGGGCACTGATAGGGTTATGGAACCGGCTTCAAATAGTGCCAATGAATTCCCTCCTATACCAGAGGGTTCCCCACCATTGCCCCCAGATTCTCCTCCACCCCCACCACCTTTGCCACCTTCACCACCCCCACCCCCACCCCCACCTCCATCATCTCCATCACCACCTCCACCTCCTCCACCTCTGCCAACACAACCACCACCTCCTCCTGCTCCACCTTCATGCCCTCCTCCAGCCTTCATACCTCAACCACCATTGCCAACTCAACCTCCACTGTTATCTCAACCCATGCTACCACCCCAGTCATCAGTACAGTCTTCACCTCAGTTGGCATATCAACCACTTGTACCACATGAATTCCGAGGGACACCGAATGTAAGAGTCCTGGGAGTTTTCTTGGCTTGCTACTCAGTATTTGGTGCTTTTTATTTATACTATGCCTTTGTATGCAGGGTAATCAGATAGTTCAAATGGCTGGAAACACACCTCATGGGGGCCATATTGATGCTGCTGTGAAAAGTGAATTGTTTCCACAGCAATCATCTTGCTTTGCAACAGGAGTCTGCAATTCCAGAGAGCCTTCTGGATATAATTCTTCGAGGCAATTGGAATATGGACATAATGAAATGTACTTAAATGCCCAATCCTCTCAACCAAATCAACAGTTTCAACCTGGTAATACAGCCTTTGTGCAAAGACCTTTACCCCCTAGTCTGCCGCAAACCTCATCTAGCCATTTCTCATTCACAAAGCCTGCCATGCCACCACATCCTCAGCATTCATATCCTCCTCAATACTCACTGCTATCGCAACATGATGGTCGGAGGCCATTTATTGCTGATGAACAGTGGAGAATGCCTGCAGGAGAATATAACACTGATAATCAATGTGGTGGGTGGATAGCGGGAAGAAATCCATCACCTGCTGGTCCATTGTTTGTGCAGGAAGGTGTGCATTATCCTGTCCTTCAATTAAATTTTGGGCTTCATTCATTGTAAATTTACTTTAATGAAATTTGTATTCCAAATTCTCATGAAGCTTGCATGATTAAAGGTGGATGTTTAGGGGCAATAATTTCTGTTTTTGACCTGATCATATTGTTGTTACCTGCAAATTAAACATATGCCCTTCTATGCTGGTGGTGGCAATCTAACTTTAGTGATTTCAAGTGTTGCATGTTGTTGTTATGGATGCTCTACTGAACTAAAGGAGAAAAATCCAAAAACAATAGAACATGTTGATCATATAAATATGAAAAGAATGCCTGCCTTATGCAGTATATGAAAATTTTCATTGCAATCTGTAGCACACTCTGGTAGTATCTACTTATTATCTTGCTTCGAACTGTTGTCATGGCTAAGTTTTTACTTTTGATGAGCCTTTACCTGTATTTAACTCTTTTAAGAGCTCATGGCCTTAAGTCCATGAACAAGTATGTGAATTGTTCTGTTGATTTGTACTTATTCATTCATATTTCATGTTCAGAGCTTCCTCTTTCTTGCCTTGTGGCCTTAAAGTGTTGATAAGATGCATCTATGGTCCCCCTATACTCTTTGTTGAAAAATTGAGCCATAGTCTCTACCTTTTGATGACACTTATGTTAATTCTTTGGCAGGTTACTTTAGACCACATGTTGAAAGACCACCTTCAAATAATATGGGTTTTCCGATTACTCCCACCACTAATTTACCAGCTGGTGCTCCAAATTCAGGTATTGCAATTTTTAATTCCTGTCTTGGTTTGTAATTTCCTTCTTTTGCTGTTAAATAATCAATCACCGATTAAACCAGAGAATGACTTCATGGTTGTATCCTTCAGGTCATGGTGCTTCACAAATGTTGCCATGTCGGCCAGACATGTCTGCCATTAATTGTTGGAGACCAGCTTGAGAATGAGGAAATAGTCTCATTAGGTACTTAGTACAGTTTCATACTTATTTGTTAATGAATCTCAGTCTGGACATGAATAGAAACATTTCATCTTTGTTATTGAAGTGAAAGTGAGAATTTGTGTTGTGTTATTTGTTAATCTTTTTTTGTTGATTTTGCTGGTAAACTAACATGAGTCATGCTACTTGTCCCACCAATTTTCTCCGAAATTTTTTTTACTCTCTGACATGGTATATAATTATTGGATAATTAAATGTGGGGTCTATCAATTCATTGGTAAGTCCACTAATTCATAAATGAGATATTACAATCAAAGCATTAATTACATGCCATGTCAAGGTGTACAAAAATTTGTGAGTGGTACAAATAATATTTTCCAACTACCATTTAGTATAACCTGAAGTTGAAAATTTGTGCCTCTTTTGTTTCAAGAATAGAGTTTTTGTTATTTTATTTGCTTGCTCACATGTAAATCTTCTTGCTTAAGTTTACAACTTCTTCTTTCATTGCCATTTTCTGCTATAAAAATAGGGAAAGTTTATTCTTCCAGGATAGAAGAAAGATGCTGAATTCAAGACTCTCTCTCCCTGTCTTTTCCACTTATTTATCAGTTCTTGCTTAGTTTCTTCCATTGATTGATGTTTTTGTAGTTGGCTGCGAGAAAATTTGCATGGAAGGGTGGTTCAATCTGTGGACAAAATACAACTACGACATGAAAGCAGTGTTGATAACTTGTGGTGGTTCAATCTGTGGACAAAATACAACTATGACATGAAAGCAGCGTTGATAACTTGTGGAAACTCTTGGCAGGATTGTCTATATTGTAATTTTTCCTGACAAATGTATCCCGGGAACATTTGCTTCTGAGTGTAGGCCCATATTTCTGACTTGGTTAGTACATCTGTTTCTTATCTTCTGTAATTATACTGAGTACAAAGTTAAAAGAAATTTATTTCCTGTTACAAATTTGAACTCTGGTCGACTTAGTTGTTTTTAAGGAATTTTTATTGATTCTCTTATTAAAAAATTGTTAAGTGCTTTGTGTTGAGTTAATTATGTGTGATGCTGGGTTTCCCTTTATTTTTGAGCTACATTCCCCTCAGTGCTGCCTACATTCAATTGAGGTGCATGTTTAGTGATTATCTTCTGTTGATCTATATGAACCACAATTGTATCTAAACATAGCTGTGGCATTACTGATTTGTTGTTCAGAAACAACTGTGGTTCATTGCTACACCTGTCAATCATTGAAGTTTACATTCTTTTGGAAGAAGGGTGAACTTGTATAGGCACTAAATCCACTTCCAGATTTCGCCTTTCCTCCTTTATTTAGTGAAGAGAGGCAGAGATGCTTTAAGCAACTATGCATATAAAACTTTTAAGCAGAGATGATTTAAGCAGATATTGTGACTGGCCGTTTGCTGGATGTTTTAGGCATTCTCCTTGTAACTTGAGGTGATCCTAAATGCTGATAAATTGGGCATCAGGTCCTGAACTGTCTACTTTATGTTTTTAGTGGTTTTATCATTCGTTTCTCTTCACTTAGGTTCGTTAATCATCAAAATTTTGGGGTGAATTGATATTTCCACTATATCTGTCTTATTTTCTTTGAACATGTTTGATTTTGGTATGGAGAATCAAAAAGACTTTTGACTGTTGGTGTTTTTTATTTAAACTTTTTTTTTATAGTATTTATGTTCAATGATTTTTAATGCCAAAAAGGTGAAGGTTAATATAAATGGTAGAAAAAGTAAATTGTATTAGGTGCTGAAGAATGAAATGAGGATATAGTTTTGGGACATCTAAAAAGGGAAAATGGGACTAATAGAATGGAACAAAGGGAGTAAGACGTTCCTAGTTTTTGCTGAGGCGCATGCATCTTCAATGTCCTCACTTTTTGAGATGGAGATCAGATGAGTCATTTTCTTCTTTTATGTGACGTGGGATTTATTCCTTTTAAGTCTTGAGACTTTGACAGCTGGATTGAGGGATTTGGGATCTATGCCTTCCAAGTCTAGAGACTGTGACAGCTATTTAGCAGGAGTGCTTAGTTGGATTCTTGCAGTAAAAGGACCTTATGCTGTTTGTTCCCACATTGCCATAGGAGACATGTAAACTTGTAGATTTACTTGCTGTCTGAGTTGGTGGTTGCTTTTTATACGATGTTTATCCAGATGGGGATGGTTTAGATAGATAGATTCTATATGGAGTGTATCTTGACATAGATTTTTTGGAAATACTTGAGGTTTGTCTGCAATACATCAACCAAGTCCCTTCTTGCTAAGTAGTTGATAAGCTAGATTTTAACATTATAGCTTACCTTAGGGTGTAGCCATTGAAAGCTATTAATGCTGAATCCTAGCTTTTGACTATTTATTTTTAAAATGGAATTAGGAAAGAAACATGAATCAAGACGATTTGTCTGGTTCTATTTTTGAAAATATAATTAAACAATCCAGCTAATTTTTGTTGCAATTAACCTGTGGACCAATTTCTAGACACTGAAACGTAGTTTATTGGTTGTAACTAATTCAAAAATGTGTGGTATAATTATTGTTTCTGGTTTGTCCATTGCAAAAATTTGTTTTTTCTAATCTCCTTTGAACAAGGGCTTCTTCAAATGACTCTTGTACAGAATATTATGCAAAAGAATCAGATTTTGAGAATTGCTACTGATAAGTTTTCATATTGATCTTTTTCTCAAGTTTTTCTTTCTTCTGTCTGTCTGTTACTAGTATCATTGTTGGGTGTGATGGGCTGGCAGTAGGGGCAGAGGGAGGGTTTACATAGAGCATATTGGCAGGTGCAACCGGAAGGGTGACTTGGGTTGTTTATCCTGCATAACAGTGAACTGTCTGTGTCTTCGCAGCTTGAGTTCCTTGAGGTTTTACTGCTGTTGTAAGCAGCAAAGTTTATCTCAAGTCTTTTTGAACAGTGTAGTATTAATCTTTCATTTAGACCATTGAGGAATTGATTATAGAATATTTTACATTTATTGCAGTTTCTGGACTTTCATGTTATGCAAAATTTTTAACAGATATTTCGAATAGAGGTATAGTAATACCATGCTAATACGTGTCTAATTTGATAGAACAAAATTTTAAGCTGTTGGTCTTGCTAAGTCTGGCATCAATAGATTAACAGTTTAATGTTGATGTTTAGTTAATCTGAGTTGCATGTTGGTGGCTATTACAGGTTGTCTCTGCTGCTCATTCTCTTTTTTGCTGCTTTGCAGTCCTTGTATCGGCTACCTTTTGTACTGCTATTTCATTAAATGAAAATCAGCTTTGCTTTCCCGCCACACCCCCCCCCCCCAAAAAAAAAATAAAAAAATCTGAGCTCGTTGATTCTTCTGGTGCTAAAATTTCATGAAGTGGGGGTGTTACTCCCTTTTGAAGATAGAAAACCTCACCTAATTTTAAGCTGTTGGTCTTGCTAAGTCTGGCATCAATAGATTAACAGTTTAATGTTGATGTTTAGTTAATCTGAGTTGCATGTTGGTGGCTATTACAGGTTGTCTCTGGTGCTCATTCTCTTTTTTGCTGCTTTGCAGTCCTTGTATCGGCTACCTTTTGTACTGCTATTTCATTAAATGAAAATCAGCTTTGCTTTCCCGCCACCAACCCCCCCCCCCAAAAAAAAAAAAATCTGAGCTCGTTGATTCTTCTGGTGCTAAAATTTCATGAAGTGGGGGTGTTACTCCCTTTTGAAGATAGAAAACCTCACCTAATGTTAGGGATTTAAGTGGAAATTGAGGTGTCATAGTTCTAAAGATGAGGTGGGGGAAAATTGGTGTATGAATTTTTTCATACCGTTTATGCATTCTTTAAAATTTTATCTTAGATTGTCTACTCAGAAGTATCATATAAAATGTTTGCTGGACATGGTACAGTAGTTCTAAAATATATAAGAGGGAAGATTCAATGTAGGAATGTAGAGCAATGTGATCTAGTATGGTCAGGGAGGAATATTTAGAGGTCAAAAGTTTGGAGTTAACTATGGGTGAAAGGGTAGTGAACAATGGGGCTTTAATATGTCCAAAGAAATATGGTGAATTAGATTTGGATCATGTACTCTAAAAGTTGTAGAGTGCTTGGTACTTTGAACATTGCTGGTGACGAGTAACATGAACAGTGAATTTAACCTTTAGCTAGAATTTGAATGTTGATTAGGGTCTCAAAGAAAATCATGTGAGGTTTAAGCAGGCAAATCCAGGGTGGTTATATGTTTAGAACTTGCTGGGAATGTGATAGACTAATCACAAAAAGAAATCTGATAACATAAAAGACCTAAAATAAGATTCTTGACTTCTTAAATTTTCAGTAAACCTGGTGCCTAGTAAATCACCCTTAGCCCATATTATTCTATAGATTCTTTCTCCATCTGATTGCGAGGTAGGGGAAACTCAAAAGCTCAATACCTCTTTGAGATAAGCTGCTGTTAGCTGTCAGTCTACTTGCTGAACTACAAAACTAAAAGAATTAAATAAAACAAAATGTACTATATCTCAGTGCAAACTATCATAAAAGACTTAATAACCACTTCCTTATCTGATGTTCGAATCTCTTATTCTACTCATTGAAACAAATTTGTTTCTAAGTAATCATTTTATGCTTGGTTGATAATTGTTTATTCTTGTAGTGTCTTTCTGTGGCTCTATGCGCACTCAATTTGGAGGTCAGTGTTCCCTTTCTATCTTTATATTAAATGGCCCACCTATAGCTATGAGTCAATGAGGAAATCACTTGGTAATTAAGATTTCATGTATTTCTAAGACAAAATGAAGGTATTCTGTAATTTTGCTTAGATAATGTTATCAATGATATCTATGGTACATGCAGGAGATAGTTCCCTGGATGTACAAGGTTTTAGTTTTAGTGGATTATAAACGAGTAGTCATACTGGAAGCCAATAGTTGGATTTTCAAGTTGGGAAATAGTCTTAGAATTCATTCTGGGTCACTTTGTGTGTTGGAACTAGAGAAAATGCAACATCTAGGTGTTGCTTTGAGTACTAATATATCTTATTTCCTTATGGTTTGTTTGGTGATGGTAAAACAACCTATACTGACACGATTTGATCCACCCCAATCCAATAGGGGTGGTTATTTTGAAATCGGGAGTTGCGTCAGAGGCGGGTTGGTTTTTTTTTAAAAGAAGTTGGGGAGGTATTGGAGGTGAGTTTTAGGGTACTCCGTCCCGAGCCATCTCAGGATATGTATAAAATAGATATTTTATTATTTATTTAATTTTAGATTTATATATGTATATATTAATAAAATTATTATTTAATATCTTAATGTAAAATATTAATTTAATAAAAATATTATATTTATATAATTAAGATATAATTTATTTAAAAAATAATATTTTTATAATACAATAATAAATTAAAATCATTAAATTAATTCCGATTGGATGCAGGTGGGGCATAGGTTATACATATATGTGTTAGGTTGGAATCGGGTATAAAACAAATAACCCGATGTCAGGTTGGATTGGAGTTGGGATATAATTTTCTAGGAGTTGGGGTGAGCAAAAATTTATCCTGACCCGATTCGTTTTCATCCCTAATTTGTTCCATATTTTCTACGGATTAAAAGAGTCTCTCCCTCTACCCACGCCTACTGCCCTGGAGCCTTATTCCTGTTTAAAGCTTCAATCTCTTTGGCTGTCATTAATCATTCTCTTAACCTCATGTTTACCTGTGGCTTTTCTGGAGGATCCAGTTCCAAAGTTGTACCACGATGCGAGGATAAGAGGCTTATTGCAAGTAGACTATTGAACTGTAATGTTGCTCATTGAATCACCTGTACCTCCCTCCCCAAATTTAGAAGTGATAAAATCCATGTAGCACATCTTCTAATGACTTATGACGTGGCCTTTTTTGGTTGAAGTATTGCTTAGCCATGTTAAGTGAAGTCTTTTAACCTGGCTTTTTTAATGTAGTGACTAACTAAATAGGGAACTCAATTATTTTATTTGCTCATAATGGCAAGGTGATTTTCTAAAACCTTTTAAAAAATTGAGGTGATAGATGGCAAAGCTTAGGTGGTTGAGGTAGAATAGAAAAAGAGAGAGGAGTGAGCTTGCTACCATGAATTTAACAATTTACTTGTGGCTATGTGTATTCTACACCTTTTAGCCTTTGTTATGTGCGCTTGATCGACAATGAAGAATGATTACCTTCTTCCTTTTTGTTTTGTTAGGGCCTGTTCTTTTTTTTATTTTTATTTTTTTATTTGGTATCAATGTGAATGATTGTTGATAAGCTGGCTGGTATTTGTCTTGATCCCTCTGCTTTTTAGCTTGGGGTAATAGGACTTTGTAATAATTATTATTTTCAATTATTGACCGTAGTTGAAAAGTAAGCTGTATTAACTTTACCAACATAGTCTATGCTATGTAGAGAATTCAATTGAGAATAATATGGTCATTACATGTATGCTACAGGTTTTGGCAAATCATTTTAACTTGAAATATCTCGATTTCTGGTGTTGCAACTTGGATATCCACCGATGTTGACAGGTCCAAAGCAGAGCAAACTACTGCAAAATGTTGAGGTAAATATTTGACATGGATTCTTGAGCCAAGGCAATGCTTGGAAATTTTTTTAATGATAGGAATGGTTCTCACAAGGATGTTTCTGTCAAAGTGTAGGTAGTTAGAGAACACTTCAAAAGTTTTTGATAAAACTCACCTGTTTATAAGGAATCATGTACTATTTTGTATATTTCATATAAACTGTTGCATACTACTATGAGTTTTGTTTTCTGAGGTAGCTGATATATATAGTAGATATTATACAATGCTATTAGTTTATGTCTTCCGTTTTCGTTTTATTTTCTTTGTCTTTCTTTACGCTGGTTTCCGGAATCATAGGCTTTTGTACCTAATAATCTCTTGAACTGATTTTTGATAAATTGTTTCTGGTGGAACCTCCTTGATATTTGCGTAAGTATGCTGTTCATCAATCTGAGTCCCCTGTTTGTACTGCTGGTTGAGTGGGGAATATGATTAGATCTCATAATTTGTGTATTTATGTTGTGTCGTGTGGTATTTTAAATTGTTAGATCTAAAAGTGGTCATATAGTTTTCCAATTAATATTGGAAGGATTACTTATATAAATGAGAATGATGATGATAGATCTCTGAATATTGATGAAAAGTGTTGAGTGTTTCACTGACATGAGGTAGCTATAAAAGCCAGGGTTTCGTAGAAAATAATAGAAGTGAAATGTTAGGGAGCTACTAAATGCACCCAACTTTTTTTTCTCTCTAATTTTTTTTAATTATTTGTTAGTGAAATTATTTAAGTACTTTTTTTTTTCAAGTTTTTAGATATTTTTCATTTATGAAATGTCATAACATTTCTCTGAAAATGCATTTTATAGAGTGAAAAAGTGAAATTTTATAAAAAATTGCAAAAATAAAATAATTTTATTAAAATTATTTATAAACTAGTGTAATAAAAATGTTGTTATTAAAAAAATTATAAATTTTAAAATTAATAAAAAATTAGTTTTATTATTTTAATTTAAAATAAATAATAAAAATATAATGAGATCTTAATTAAATATTTTATTTTTTGATGTTACGAAACTATAAAATTTGATTAACATATAAAGAGCTAAAATGTTTTAAAATTATATAAGTAATATTATTAAATATTTGACAATTTCATTAAATTTAATATGTTAACTGAAGAAATTCATGTGATAAGTAGATAGATAGGAAGATTTTTCCAAAGAATTAAGTTTAATTAAAATAATTATAAAATTTTAATAATTGATAAAAAATATTTAATAAAAATAATAAAATTTAAATTTATAAAAAATTGTGTTTGTTATTTTATTTTTAATTTAGTAAGGTTTCATAAGATATAATTTTTTTTCTAAGATGAAAATAATAAAAATAATTTTTTTATTAATTTTAAAATTTATAATTTTTTATTACATTATTTATAAATAATTTTAACAAAATTTTCTTTTTTATAATTTTTCATAAAATTTTACTCCAACACCCTCAAAAGTGCATTTTTGAAATGTGTTATGATTGTTTGAAAGTGTATTTTCAAAAAGTATTATAACTTTTTGAAAATGGATTTTTAAAAGTTATAAAACTTGTAAGTAATTTTATATATAAAAAATTTTGTAACAAAGGGAGATATATAGAGAAAAAAAGGGGTGCATTTAAATTTTCCCAAGATTTATACGGTTTCACAGATAATGTAAGTAGTTTTCTGTAAATTGAGTATTAGAGCTGCTCACCCAGAAGATCCATGGAGTCATGGACCAAAACACCTATCAGTGTGCGCGGGTTTTTCATGCAATTTTTATCAAGCCAAACAGCAGCAGTTAATCAATGGCATGGCTTCCTAGTTATCAGAATCAGATATGTTTGTTTCATTACATAATGTATCTAAATATATGTTTGTTGTTGTTGGCCTATCTATAATTTTTTTTAGTATCCAGGATTTGAATTATGATCACTTTTTGAGTCATTTAGGTTTCGAAATCGATTCCCTTCTTGAATTGAAATTAGAAATGGTATTGGGAAGAGGGAAGCTTGCAAGTTGCAATAGTGCAGCTGCAGGATATATGACTGGAGAATTTGGTTGGGGTTTTTTGCTGCCTCCCAATAACAGAATGTAACTCAAATCATAAAGAGTTGCATTTATTTTGGTCCTACACTATTAGGCCATTACTCTAAAAGATAAGTGATAAAATAGTATTGAGTTGAACTTCTCAAAGATTTGGTTTTAGGAAATATTCTATAGTTTACTCTTCTCTAAAACTAGCTTGATAATTTTAAATAGTAATAACAAAAAATTTACAAAAATAATATAATTTAAAATTTTGAAAAAATTATATAAAGATTTGACAAAAAATATATACTTTGTGTTTAGAATACCAACACAAATTTAATGTGATAAATTTCATGTTTTATATTTATGTTTGACATGAAATAAACACAATATAAAACATATTTTGTTATATCTACTTAAAATTACCAAGGAAGAGAAAACAAGAAAGAAATAATGAATCAAGAAAAGTAAAAGAACAGCGAGGATTCATGACTTCGACTCTTTCCTAGTTTCCTCTACACATTTGGCATCTCATCGGTCATCTATGATCCCTTTATTTTCGGATTAATACATCTATTTGGTTTTCTTTTTCGCTTTTTTTGTGTTTCCTGAAAAGCTTGAGAATTTTATGGAAACTTAAATTATATACGTAAGTTTCATACACAGAACAAAACAGATTATAGGGAAACTTAATTCATTAAACCTATATACGGGAGTTTCATTGCCTTTGACAACAAAACGAGTCAAAACCAGGGATTACATATCTAACATTTGATGCGACACTCAAGACTTAAACCGTTTTAACAGAGAATTTACTCTAATCATAGCTCTTTCCATGCTAAAATGTACCAAAAAAAAAAAAGAAATAGAAGCACCAAGAATCATTGAACATATAACATATTGTATGCAATTTACTTGCAATGAAAAGAAGATATGATGAGGCTTGATCACGCTTTGTTGAACTGGACTGTGGCTGTCATCAATGGGAGGATGTTTCTTCCATATCCATGCTGCAGAGAGTTCAGATGTTTCTGAAGTTTAACAACAAGACCTTCATAAACTGGACTACCCCTTTTCTTTGTCTCTCTTAAAGCAGTTTGGAGAACATAGTTTCCATATCGATCTTTGGCAACTTGAAAAAGTTGATTGCTCTGAAGAAATTCATGTACCACATGATCCATCCCTGATGATCTCAAGCACTTCTCCACTACATGACTTCCTCCTTTCTGCATGGATAGTTTTACATAGTAACCTTTCAGTTTTGAGCAGATTTTGTCGATGATGGCAGGATTTTGGAGTCCCAGGACGCATTGCACAACAAAGTTGCCTGCAGGATCTTATGCCAGGTACACCACATGATCATAGATCAAGTTGAGAAGTTGATCTCTTCGACGACCTTTGATGCGGAAGATGAAATTGTTCAAGGATACACATCCCCTCTCATGTGTGGCCAGTTTGAGACATTTATTGATGGCTTCAACGTAGAGCAAGTCATTCTTCTGAGAATCAACAACGTCTAGGCATCCAGTATCACATATTGTCCTGTTATATTGACCATCAGTTCCCAGAATTTGTTGCACAAAGCTTTCACAACCTCAGTAACCAATGGTGACTTCTCAAGCACTTTGATCAGCTTCTTAATTGAATAACTGCCATATCTATCAATTGATGCATCGAAGATGTATCCACAAGAGAATGTTAGTTCCTCCATAATCATCCGCAGCTGATTTTCGTCTTCTAACTCAATCAGCTTCTTAAATAGATAGCGTCCATATTGGTTGGTCATCAACTGGAATATGTACTCAATAACCTCTTTAAATATCAGGCTTTTAATTCTCGGGTCCTTCAACAACTGATCCTGCAATTTTTTGGAGCCATATTCACTCATGGCCAGAGTAATAATCCAATTACCTGGTGATGGCACAATGCCATTGATCTTTTGTTGATTCCAGACATCACTAGAATTCGCTGTACTGATGTTGAAACCATTGCCCAAAAGATTTCTTTCTGTGGAAATTGCTTCGGGATGAGAAGGAAGGCGAGGGTTTCCATTAGAAAAACCATTGAACAAGTTGACATTATTGATCATGGAATCTTTCTGTCTCTGTGATGTCAGATTATACAGGTATGGTGCTCCAAAACCATTCCTGGTATTCAATGTTTTCCCCGTCGGGTTTTCAGCAAAACCATAGGTTTGATAACCCACACTATTTAGGGTCATATGGTTGCTCAATCCAGAACCAGGAAAGACGCCTGTCAAAGAACCATTCAAAGGCAACGACGAAGAAACCCTGTTGACCTGAGGAGTAGTAGCCGAGACATTATCAATATCAAACTCGCCATTCTTTAAACCAAGATTTCCAAAAGAAAACTGAAGGGTTTTAAGAGAAGTAGAATCCATGGAAGCCCTTGAGTTGGGTCTTTTAGGATCAGCACAGTTCTCCATGGAAATACTTAAGAGAACTAGAAACAAGATAAACAAGAAAAAGAAGAGAGGAAGCGAAGAAGCAGAGAGAAGGAAACTCAATGGAGGAGCTAACAAGTAAACTTTCCTATTTATAATACTTGAAATTGTTCTTAGTTTGTATGCAGGAATTCAAGTTTGGGTTGGTTCAAGATTACAAGTTCTTTTAGAACTAGGATTAGTGGTATTTTAGAAAGAGAGCTGAATACTTGTTTACCAAAGATTTCGTCACCAGCCTCAAGAATGAAATCTGGGTTTTAAATCCTGCCATTAAAAAAAATGACCTGTCAAATTTCATCAACTCACCAGGTGTGGTTGGTAATAGTAACCTGAGGGTTCTTGGCCCTACAAATTATGCAACCCCCTCTAACATGTATATATACTTATATTAAATGCACTTAAATTGGTGCTCTAATAAAAAATGTTAATTTTATTATTTTTTGTGTTTTATAAATTAAATTTATGTATTATTATTTAAGAGATATTCCAATCACATTTATATTTATTTTTTTATTTATTATATCTAATAATTATTACTTATAAATTCTTAAAATCGATAGATTTATTATAAATTTTAAATCACTATCAAATGAATTTAATAAAAATCAAATTAACTTTCCAACTTTATCAACAAGATTTAAGAACCAAATACCAAATATGTTTTTTTTTTATATATATATATTTTTAGTACAAGGAGATCGAAGTTTAGATGATTTAAAGAAAGTGAAAAGGAGATTTAGTTTACATCAACTCCTTTCTTCATATATTTTTTACTTTTATTTTTACTTTAAATCTCTATCACATGTCGTTGCAACTTTTTTTATCTGACGGATCATATTTGAACTATAAAAAAAAAATACCAAACTTCTAATCTCAAAATTTCATATTTATTATTTTAAAAGTATATTTAATTTTCTTGTTTTAATAAAATATTTAATGATTAACTTATTCATACTTTTTTATTTCACTTTTAAATTGTTAAAAAAATCAAAATAATTATGAGTAATTAGTAATTCAACAATTAATTGTAAATTATGTTATTATTAAAAGTATAATATTATCATAATAATATTTTTATTTTATAGTTTTATGCTCTTATCATGCCTTTATTAGTATATTGTTTGCCTATATATTAATAAGCATGATAAAATATGTCTTAGAAAAAAAAAGATAGAATATATTATATGTTATTAATTGGTACCTTCTAAATTATATGTTAAGATCCATTATTGTGACTCATATATGTTTAGTGTTCATTAATAATTTATGTGAGACATATATATATATATATATATATATGTAGATACATATTTTATCCATAAAAAAATAATTAAAAAAAGAAAAAAAGTTAAAAAAAATTGGTTTGAACTCTGGCAACTAAAATCAAGCTGCCAGAGTGATTTTATTCTCCTTTGCCGTAACCTAATTTTGTAGCATGAATTAAGGAGTCATGAAAATCTTTTCGAATTCTAGATTATTTGGAATTTAAGACCAAAAAATGCTTTATAAAATTGAGCCAAAAGAGGAACATAAAAAACTTAAGGAGATTGCTTGTGAAAGAAAAAAAGCAAAAAACACTACAAAAAAAAAAAAAAAACCAAAGGAGGACATTTTTCTTGGGCAACTTCTAGGTTAAAAAAAAAAAAACAACTCAATCTTTCCAAAGGATGAACCAGCAGCAAAGTCAAAATTTTTTTTTTCCAAAAACAAAAAAATTTTCAAAACAACAATTTTTGATTTGAGCTTTTTAAAATTTTTTTGTTAAAAACTATTTTAGAAAAAAGATATTTAAAAGATCGAAAATATCATTTTAGGAATTAAAATTTTTTTTTTTTTGAAATTTTTTAGGTAATCAAAAACTAAAAAAGTTTAATTTTTTCGGCAACTAAAATCTAGAAAATACAGCGAAATTTGGAAATAAGCTAAAATTTGAAATTTTTAAAATTTTTTTGCTCCAGTTGAAGTTTTCAACCACTGGTGCATGACAATCACCTGCTGAAATTTGAAAATAACGGTGATCGGTGAAGGGAAAAAGCTTTTAGAGAGAGAGGCTCTAGGGGTAGAGAGAAAGAGAGAAGAAAGAAAAAAAAATAAAAAATGGTTCTTTTATAGGCTAAGTAAAATGGTACCATTTTAAGGCATTGACACGCATTTGATTTGCGCAAGATGTGCATGGACTGCCTGGCAACTCAACCTTGTGGTGAGTTTGCCTTTTTCTTTTTTGGTTTTACTTTCATTTTATTTTATTTTTTATCTTATTTCGTTTTATTATTTCATTTTAATATTTATTATATGATATTATTATTATTTATTTATTTATTCATTTATTTTTTTAAAAAATAAATGAATAATGGTAAAATAAAAAAATAAATAAAGGGTAGGTTTATTAAAATAAAAATAAATAAAATCTTAAAAAGTATAATTATAAAAAATTTAAATTTTAAAAAAATAATTTTTTTTTGAATTGAGTTTTTTTATAAGCAAAATATTTCTTGAATTTCACTAAAATGTTAGGATAATTCAAGAAATTATTTTGTTACATAATAAAAATAAAAAATTAATAATAATCGATTATTTGAATCAATATTCTAAAAATATAATTTTTAAAAGAAAATTAAAAAAGGTAAATTTTTCTCAATTATTGCAAGTAAAATATTTATACTTTTAGATTTTGCCAGTGAGTTAAGATAATATAAAAATTATTTTTCTAAATAAATATTTATTTAATTGATAAAAAAATGATAAAAATAAAAATAATTATTTAAATAAATATCTTAATTATTAAAAAATTATTTTTAAATTTCACCAAAGAGTTGGGATAATTTAAAACAAAAAACAAAAAAAATATTGTTTACTAAATAAAGGTTTATTTAAATGATAAGGAAAAATAATAACAATGACAAAAAATAAGAAAAATTATCACAATAAAAATTAATTAAATATTTAATTTAATCTCGTAATTATTATAAATAAAAAATGATTTTATTTAAAATCTTGTTAAAAAGTTGAGATGATCTTAAAATTTGTTTAAAATTTTTAGAATTTAGTCGAAAAGTTGAGATAATTTTAAATTTAGTTTAATAAAATTTTGAGATTTCTTCAAAGAGTTGGGATAATCCTAAAATCAGTTTAAATAAATAAAGAAAATATCTTATGATAAAATTTTAAGAATTTTGTGAATGATCAATATTTCTAAAATTTTTTTAAAAGATTTTTTGTAAATTTTACCAAAGTATTGAAGAATTTATAAAATACGATAACAATAATAATACTAATTTCATAACAACAAATGTTTTTTATAAATAAATTTTAGGAAATTAAATTTAAATATAAAAAAGATAATGTCATCAAAACTAAAGGATTATACATGTTTAATTGGTACTATTCTTTGAACGGGTGATGTGAGGGTGCTAATATCTTCTTGTCTTATAACCATACTCTTGGACCGTACCATGATTTTCGCAAACCAAAACTTCTTTTAGTAAAGTTTTATTAATTTTAAGATTTTTATTAAAAGATGATATTTTTGGGTGGCTAATCACACCCTATAAAAAGATTGGTAACGACTTTGTAAATTTTCACCAAATTTAGTGATCGAGTTCCCTTAGACGAAAAATCATTATGATAGCTTGGCAACTCCACTAGAACGCTAGAAAGTCAAGCCAAAAATTAAACATGTGTCATCAAAACTTTAATTTTCTGGTCTTTCAATATTTAGTTTTAATTTCTTATCTTGTCTTAGAATAAAAATAAAGAAAAAAAAGGTAAAAATTTGATGGATTCATATAGTTTTATTATGTTATTTTATTTGTCTTATATTGTTGCCAAATGTATTGTTGATTTTATTTTGATTAATAATTGTTACATTCCCACACATACATGCACATTTACATTCATGTATGAGCTCTATACTCGGGTTCTCAAATCTATCCCTTTTTAGGAGGGAGTAGAGTACCTATGCTTTCGTGAGGTTATAATGTCTCTACTTGGGCTAGTAAAATACTTTCACTCAAGTTGAACCCTTTCCGTCGATAGCTCGTTATGGGTGAGGATCGAGGGCCTTACTAGTCCAAAGTGGATGACAATGAGGATCAATTTAGGAACCTTTTTAGCCTGTGTTAATTACCAAACCTTGTATATAGTGAACCTTAAAAAGACAACCTTAGATAATGCCATACCATTTTTGTAAATTGTACCTTAAATTAGGACATATGAGGGAATATTATTTTATATGATTACTAACCCTATTGTGTTTTGCTCTCATTTTGTTTCAAGATCATGCATCATCATAAATACTTGCATATGGGATATACTTGTCATTATGCCAATATCAATAAAAAGATTTTCAATCTTGCTATGAAAACACCATCATGATGTTCTTAGTTTCGAAGCCTATGTGTATGAAGGACTAATATGATGATAACTCTATCTTTAAAAGTTTAAAGTAGAATAGGAAACTATCTGAAAGAATCTAAACAGGAAATTTTGCCTGAAGAAATCAAACAAGAACTTTAACAAAATGACATCTTTGAGTTGGTTGAGATTTGGTGCCGTGTAACAACTCATAGGAAAATGGTTATCGAGAAAAAATATGGTCATATTGTTTCACTCTTTAAGGTGCCTACAAAAAATCAGTTGATAAGAGCTTTAGTTCAGTTTTAGAATCCTGCTTATAGATTTTTCATATTCAATAAGATAGATGTGACTCCAATGATCGAAGAGTACACTACATTGCTATGGTTGCATCTCTTTAATCTATTGATGAGGTCAAAAACTTGGATCTTGAAAGAAACTTACTAGTGTGATGGAGGTTCTTACTTAGAATGTGAACTTATATATCTAAAAAAAAGGCAAAAGTGATTACATCTCGTGGGAAATCTTGCGTGATTACATCGTCAAACACTTAAAGGATGAACGAGGCATGAGAATGATAGCTTTGGCAATTTATGGCTTGATTATTTTTCCAAAGGTCTTAAGGCACA